TTTTTTTTTTTTTTGGTGAAAATGTGTGAGATTTCATGCACGACATTTGAGAACAATGCAACTACATTAGGCTAGCGTCAGTTACAAGTTACAACTACCACAATGACCTTCTTTAATCATTAGTTTAGGTGGCTTTCACTCATAATGCAACAATTGACAAAATTCTTCATTCACAAATTATAGCAAAGCTTGTCTTACTTGTTCCTATGAAATATAGTACGGCATAAATGGAGAGTAGGAACTTGTATAACTGGATTTCTTTACCAAAAATGAAGCAGAAACAAAAGTGAATTTGTAAAGCATGTTCTAGAAATGGAACTATAGAAGATGATGACCTCTCTCGTCTATCCAACAAAGTTATTCCTAAATGACTATTCCTATGTTGGGTTCCTATCTAGTGCATGTCACCATAATACTATTATAAAACCACGAAAATCATAGTCCTCTTTAATTCGAGTTGAGATGTGACTTTATGTTAAAATTTTTTTACTATAGCAAAAAAGTTAGATGTGACTAGTTCAGAGAGCTTTTCACTGTAGCAAAACTCAAATTATATACTTGAATCAGAGAAATGAACATGACCTTAAAAATTTATATTAATTCTCTTTTATTCTCACCAATTTTAAGGGTGAGAACATAAATAGTGGGAACGATGCGAGAAGAGAAAAGAGAGAGCATATCTTGTTGTTGAGGTAAAAAGTTCTATAGGCTCTTCCTTCTTGGCATGTAAATTATTACGTGCTTGTCTATTTTCTTCTCTCTTTGGATATCTATTAAATAAACATATCTTGATCTTTAGGAAATTTTAGCGTTTTTGCTTTGATTCTAGGATTCTGGCATTTTATGTGGCCTCTAATTTTTTTTTTTTTTAATATAAGAGGAGAAGATAATGCCATGATTTTTAAGCGGACTTAAAGTGACTGAAACCTTAAGTGACTGAAACCCTCAACTCATAATTAAGGTGGAGGGATTTATAATTAATTAGAGTGTTCTCACTTGTCTTCCTCTTAAACTTTTTGGAGTTAGACACTCTCCTTCAAAATTTTATTTTTCCCTCAATATTCTACTTTTAAAATAACATAAATTAATTTCAATGGTTAACGGGAGTTAAATCTAGGTGATTTTGTACAAATTCAGGTATTAAAAATACAAATTATGAAAAAATTTGGGGGATATGAACTGAAATATTATATTCATCCGCACAAAGTTTAACCTCCATTAACAAATTAAACTTTGATTATTCTTCTTTTGGAAATTCATAAAATAAATTACTAAATGAAAATTTATAGACAAAAGTGTCAAGTCGCGGAAAATTCAAGTGTCCATGCACTATAAATTCTTAATATTACTATTTTTGAGAAATTGTTGCTTGATAATTTTGTATATTCCGTAGTTTTGTTTCATAGAAAAATAAATTTGTATTCTTAACTTTTTGTCAATTTTACGGCGGTTTATATCTATTCTTATTGTGTCAATAAATCTCTTGAATCTTTATTGATACCTAAATTCGTATCAGGCTCATTATGAGTCTAGGCCTAATCTTTTACATCTGACGACGTAATTGGTCCTGTTTTGTAGATCTAAGTCACACTCAAGAAACTCTCGTGGGTTGTGATTTGGTAGGCCATGAGTTATCACGTAGGCCCATTTGTCCTTAATTTGCCCAATTTGAAACTTGCTTGGGGGGTTTTTCAGAACTAGTCAAATTAAGCATGAATGGGTGATGAAGGATTCAACCTAAAAAAGTATTTTCCTTGTCTTTGGAAGCCTAAAATCTTTTATTTCAGCCCTTGAAAGACGCAAAACCAAAGCCTGATCTTTCAAAAAGTTTCTCTAACTCAAAGGCTTGAGAAATCCATTAGTTTTGGCTCATTCAGAGGCTTTTCTTATGATCAGACATGCCTCTTGGAGCACTCCCCGTGCCTGGCATACTTTCCCAACTCTTCTTCGTATCAAGTTGTCCATTTGGAGCAACTTGGTATCCGAGCAGTTTGTTGTCAGAGCAAGTATAATGGCTACTTGGTCATTCTCATACAAACAATCTCCGACGAAGGTCTGACACACGATCAATCCCCCAAAAAAGAAAGTCTTCGAAGCACTTGATTGAGTCAAACACTCTTGGAGATTTCAAGTCTGAAATCACATTGCGTCAGACCAAAATCTAGAACTTGACCTTCAAGTATTTCCACTTCTAAGGTGTCATTTTGCTTTCTCAAACAAGACAGTTGAGATTTTGCTACGAACGGAATTACTTATGCCTTACTTCATTTGAACGCCACCTGAGCAAATTTTCAAAAACTTTTCATCCCATTTTAATGAGTCTCTTTGATTTGACACCTTTCCTCTGAATGGGAATGCCATTTGCCGCCATTTCTTCCACTCTAAAGTCTTTCGTTCCATTTCTGAACTATCTTTTTGTCAAATCAAAAAAGGCCTCTGATATACTTACTCCAAAACGAAAATGAGTATTCAGGCTTCCGTCAGAGCAATTGTCAAGCACTCTCATATCCTTCTATAAATACCCCATTTACCTTCCTCATTTCAACAAGAGACCAAGGACACACCAGCACATAAAAAACACATCTCCTTTTGAGTGCCTTTTTCAAGTCTTTTGCTATAAAGACTTGGAGTCTTCTTCAAGTTCTTGAGGAAATTTATAGTTTCTAAGTGTTGACCTCCTTAAAAACTCCTCAAGAACACTTTCCAAATCCTTTTCCACCATCATCTGAGTGGTCCAAGAGTTTCTTCTACACTTTTCCTGTAGTATTTAAGCCTCCAACCTCAGAGCCACTCTTGTCGACCGTCGGAGGGAATGCTCCAAACAGTCTCCACACTCTTGGAGTGACCTACATTTCTCCCAAGCTCTTTCATCAAACTCCTCCATATCACGTTTCTCCATCAGCGCTTTATCCACCAGTGAAGCTACATACTTAAAGCCTCCAAAGTGGCCTAAAAACTACTTTTGGAGCCCTTCTCCATCAAAAAGCTTTATCTACCTCTCGAGTCATTTCTCTACCAACTACGTGATCACTTCTCTCACCATTCTTCATTCGCGAAGTTCTTCATTATTATTTTATGAATTTTCTACCATTTTTTACAGGAGCATTTTTCGTGATTTTGGCAACAAAGAGGGCCCTAGAGCATGTGTTCTTCAGCCTAATTTAGGCCTTAGCGAACCACACTACCGTCAGAGGTCCTAACATCGTTGTCTACTTCGAAGGCCCGTTAAGTACTTCGGTCACGTTAGAACCGCCACCAACAAATTAAATACTTACACGTGCATACTCTCACCACGTCATACCTGCCGGATCTACCGGATCCCGACAACCCTCTAGGTATAGAATCACGATAATAAAAAATAATCACAACCGAATATAAATGTATGGAGCTTATTTCAATAGGGTATGCTCTATTATATATAAAGCATGTATCTAAATGTTAGGTTCGACCAAAAATTGAATTAAAATATTTTTTATTTTATAATGAAAATCTGACGAAACCAACTACAAATTTGATTATTCAAAATAGAATCTTATAAAAAAAAAATTTCATATCCAACCCTTAAAATTTCAATAAACTTCAATCATAAAAATTTCAATAAATTAATTGCGTGATTTGTTTTTTTTTTTTTTTTTGGTTGTCTGGTGACTAAATTTGTTGCCCTGTTACGTGTGCGACCAGCGTTTATTTATTCACCTAAATGGATAAATCTTGACAATGACTTGTTTTGAATCTTTTGATGACCATTTTATTTCTTTGATGTTGAAATTACCGTGGCCAAATGCCAAATCGACCTTGGTGCTTGGACATCTCAAGAACAATCTGTGGACCAAAAGCATCATATACTTCCTCAATTTTCAGCTTTCACTTAGATAGTGATGTTTTTTTTCTGGATAAACCCCTTTCATGGGAAATAACATTCTTATCCAAAATATGCAACGTTTTTTTTCTGGATAAACCCCTTTTGTGGGAAATAACATTCTTATCCAAAATATGCTAAGCATACTCAGACGGTAATCTAAAAATTGAGGTATCCACATGAATTAATGGGAAACACCAAAAAGTTGGAAGCATAAACGATTAAAAGGAAAACTTAGAGATATTTTGGGGGAAAAAAGGAAAAAGAAAACAAATTAAGAATTTAATTTAATGGGAAAAGGAGGGAAAATAACATAACAGAAAAATATTAGCATTAATTTTTGTGCTACTCTCTTTTATCACTTTTTACATTCATTATTTGACATGTAAACTCTATTATCTCGTTTTCTATTAAAATAATAATATACCATGCAAGTAAAATTTTTTAAGTGTCAAACATGAATGTAGAAACTAAAAAATGATCAAAAGAGTGACGTTAACATTTATTTGACATAGTAATAGTATGTTTGGGATTCATTTCCGACGAAAAAAACATGTTAAGAAATATTTGGCTTTTTTTGTAAAACAATTACAATAGTAAAAAAATTAAAAAAAAAAAAAACAACAGTAAAAAATATTCATATTAAATTAAAATTTTTGTTCATTCGAATGATTTTTTTTTCTAACTTTACTATGTATGTTTTTTATATGATAAAAATCACATCAAGTAATCAAAATAGAATTATATATACAAGATAGATGAAACTATATAAATTCTATTAATACAATTTTCAAAAAAAAAAAAAAAAAGAGAGATGGTCAGTGGACAAAAACAAGAAAAAACAGGATGAGAGATTTTTTTTTTTTTTTTAAAGAAATTGAGAAAAGAAGAGGTAGGAAAAAGTAAAATCCCCAATTTACCACGCAAACAAAACGCGCGAATCATGTACAACTACTTTTGTTGTGTTAAAAATTCGGAGCCAACCACCAACTAACGACACACACGAATATTATTATTTTATTCATCAAAATAAAAAAAGAAATTTGAAAAAAGAAGGAACACGAATAAACATAGAGAAAACGACGCTTCGCTTATATAAAATAGTTATTGAGGGTCAAAAATCAATTTTCCTTTCCAGAAAGTGTGTTATTTTCTCTCGAGCCAAACAGCATCTTTCTCCCTACAGTGTAGGTAGGCATGCGAGTGCGTACTCCCCGATAAATTTGCCGCGGAAGCCCGTCGATCGCCGCCATCCGGGAATCGGCAACCCGCGGGTTCCGGCGATCCTTTTGACTTTCGGAAATGGCGTCGGAGGATGTGGTTGGGAAGACGACGAGCGAGTCGGCGGTCACGACGATCGTTAACCTCGCCGAGGAGGCGAAGCACGCCAGCGAGGGAGTCAAGGCTCCGAGCCACGTCTTCCTCAGCGTCTGCAAGTCTCTCGTCGCCGGAGGAGTCGCCGGCGGAGTGTAAGTTCGTAGCGACGCTTCCAATGTTCTTCTCAGTTGTTGCTTGTTGGATCTGTTTTTGTTCTTTTCATGTTCTATTTGTTTAAATGCTCGTTTTCTTGAATTAGTTTTCTTGTGCTCTATTTTAGGTGAAGTTCTGATTTTTCTTCGCGATTTACGTAAATTCTGCGACTGTTTGGTTCATTTCTCTCTCGACCTTGTGTTATTGATTCTGTTATCTAAGATTTTTGTGTTAAAGATTTGATTTTTTGTTCTTTTTGAATAATTGAAGAATTTATTCCTTACTTGTCTGTGCCAGAAGAAAGCGCTGGTTATTAGCCGCTTTGACTTTTCTTATTCAGTGTATGGATCAAATTTCTTATTAATCGCATAAGATAATGGAACTTTTTAGTTATAAGATCCCATTTTTAGCAGTTTGTATCATTGTATTACGTGCTAAGAACCAGGCTGACGTTTTTTGTATTGAATTTGCCGAGTCTTCTGTTATTTTTGCAACTATTTTGGATGAATAAAATACACCAAAATATGTGGCTTAGTGTTACTGCTTTTTCTTCTGACTTAATTGGGATACTATTATCTTTATGAGATGCTTGACTCTGAATGGATGTTAGACGATTGACCAGAACTTGCATTTATGTTATGTACCGTAGTAATTAGCAATTTTTTTTTTTTTTCAATTTAGTAATTATATGATATAAATGTCCACGGACTTGCTTGCTGTAGGTCACGTTCTGCTGTTGCTCCATTGGAAAGATTAAAAATTTTGCTCCAGGTTCCCCTTCTTCTTTGGATTGGTGGTTTTATTGCGATTTCCTTTACTAAAATAGTTATAAGATACACAAGGAAGATCGCTAATTACTAGAATGCATGCCAATAATCACCACCTCTGGAGCTGCGGGACTTAAGACTCATTGTTCGGATTATTGCATTGAGCACAATGAGTCAACGGGTTGTATTTTGGGGTTTGAAATTTGGGATAGAATGAGAGATGAGGTCCATTTTTGTAGATGATTGATAGTTTGCATTGGTATCACGCAGGTCCAAAATCCTCACAGTATCAGATACAGTGGAACGATTCAGGGTTTGAAGTATATATGGAAAACTGAGGGTGTTAGAGGAATGTTTAAAGGCAATGGAACTAATTGTGCTCGCATTGTTCCAAACTCTGCTGTCAAATTCTATAGCTACGAGCAGGCATCTAAGTAAGCTTCTTCACGTCATTTTAATTTTTTTCCCACCTACGTTACCTTATTCATACTGGATTTATACGATTTAAGAATTCAATTTCTGGAAATAAATATCTATTTTTATTGTTGAGACTGATTTTTTATTTTCATTCCGACCTTTTTGTTGAACAGGGGTATTCTATGCCTTTACCGACAGCAAACTGGAGAGGGTATGAAGACTGTGTTCATTTCATCTTATAAGGAGTTATATGTGTGTTTTCTTAGATTCATTTTTATATGTGTCAATTTGTTCTATTGTCATTTTATAAGCATTGATCTGTTTCAACCTTTACTGGTGTCACTGAGTCCATCACATAGAAGCTTTCTCCTTTCCTTATTCATTTGGTCTAGTTCTTATTGTGAGCCCAGAATATATTAGTATATTTTCTCGTGTCATGGAATTGTTTACTTTTGTCGTGTTATCCTCATCTGCTTCTATGTCTAAGGGAATTAATTTTTCGGGGATGAGGGAGAAAGAATAATATTATAACAATGACTGCTGTGATGATGGCCGGTTGTTTCTTTGCCTCTTGCAGAAGAGGCTCAACTGACACCTCTTTTACGCCTTGGAGCTGGTGCGTGTGCTGGAATTATTGCCATGTCAGCAACTTACCCAATGGACATGGTACGAGGTCGACTGACTGTTCAGGTATCATTGAGACTCTTTGAAGTCTGAATTGACATGGGTTCTGGATTTACTCTTTTTGTGTGTGAGCTCCTTTGATTGTTTGACATTTTGGTTTTGGTGGATTAACTTTCTCACTACCTAATGTTATTCAGACAGAGAAATCTCCTCGCCAGTACAGAGGAATCTTCCATGCCCTTACAACAGTTCTCCGAGAAGAAGGGCCCCGCGCTTTATACAAGGGCTGGCTACCGTCTGTCATAGGAGTTGTAAGTAAAATGCTTATCTATTTCTGTGAATGTCCTAACTTTTAATATTAAAATCCAATAATAGTAATAAATCGATTCAAGGACTCATAGTTTCCGTTCCACAAGTGATGGAATAAGTCCGCAGAGGAATACTTGTTCATTGATTTATTGCGAGAGATTTTATTTTTCTGGTCATTTTGTGTCTAAAGCTGCAGAAGTTGTTGTTTTAAAGGGTTTGATATTATTTCGTGGTGTAACAGGTACCTTATGTTGGTCTCAACTTTGCCGTCTATGAATCTCTAAAAGACTGGTTGATTAAAGCTAGACCTTTTGGACTAGTTGAGGATTCTGAGCTGAGTGTGACAACAAGGCTTGCATGTGGAGCTGCAGCTGGAACTGTTGGCCAGACGGTTGCTTACCCTCTTGATGTTATCCGGCGGCGAATGCAGATGGTGGGCTGGAAAGATGCTGCTTCAATTGTGACTGGTGACGGGAAAAGTAAGGCACCTCTCGAATATACTGGGATGATTGATGCATTCAGGAAGACAGTTCGGCATGAGGGGGCCAGAGCGCTCTACAAGGGCTTGGTCCCTAATTCTGTGAAGGTGACTAGTTAGACTCTGATCAGCAAAGAAAAAGAAAAACAAGAGCAATTGTCAATTACGATTGTAAAATTATAACCGCCTTTTCATACTTGCCCTTCTTTTCAGGTGGTCCCGTCTATAGCCATTGCGTTCGTGACTTATGAGGTGGTGAAGGACATTCTTGGAGTTGAGATGAGGATATCTGATTGAGCAAGACGACTTCTATATATCTTGTTCATCTTTCTGCTAATTCTTTAGACAAAACGAAGGGGATATTAGGAGAAGGTATATTTGCTGATTCTTTAATATTGAGATAGCAGCGAATTTCGAAATGCTTTTGGAGCAAATCTTTAGCCTTTCTATTCTTGTGCTTTTGCATCATGGAAATAAGTAAGCTTTAAGAAATGATTGCGAGAAGAATGTAAAGTAAATCCTTAATTATATATGTGCAGCTGGTTTACGAAACACGATTTTATACTCTTTTTTGGTGTTCTTCTAGTGTCGTTTCTCTATGGCCACCGTTTATATTGATATTTTGCTTTATGATGTGTGCATCGTTTGGTTGGCTTTTGTGACCTAAAGTAATCGTAGCATGATAAAACCCAGATATATATTGTGAGACATTTTTCATGATTACTAATTTCACTGCCTTGGGATTGGGAATATGTCATCATTCATCTAAGTTCTGTGACATATCGAGAAATGGCATTATAACGACAAATATTATGCGATTTTCCATTTTCAGTTTACACTTTTGGTATCATAGGCTGAAGCCGCTTGTTGCATTGTGGGCCATATTGTTCAAATGGGTACTAACATGACATGATTCCCCAAATATTGTACAAAAGAACGCAACAAAGAATACCACAAAACAAGATATTATCCATTTAGGTCCCGCTTGCAATCATTGTATTTTTTCTTTTCTTTCCTTTTCTTTTTTATTTTTAATTAAAACTAAAGAGTTTAATATTTTTAGATAGTATATCGAAGCATTGCTTAGTTGAATTTGACATTCTATTTTTATATAAACAAAAACGATAACGAAAACCAGCCAATATAAATATTATCAAGCAAGACTTCAACAATATAATCTCCTCTTAAATAATGAGTTCTATAATCAACGTCAAAATAGCTAATGAAATGGTAGCTTGAAGAAAAGGTTTGACACATATAAGCAAAGCGAATTTGCAGCCAAACCCGTCTGATGTGCTTACCAGTCTCAATATTTTATATCAACACACTGACCTGCCTTTTGTTTTCGATAAGAAATAGAAAAGAAAAAAAAATGAAACAATAGAAATAATACATAAAAATAGCTGCAACGGGACACATAATACAAATCACAAACTGTCAAGAATAATAAATAACTAAGTTGCCCTCTGGACTCTTACAGTGGTCGTCTTGGAGAGAACTTCCTTGAGATTGTCATAACGGCTTCGATGATAATCAATCCACAAGCAAAGTTGTCTTATTGCCTCTCTCTTCTCTTCTCCCAGGCCCAAAATTCCCTCGTTCTTCTCTTCCATCATCTTCTCCAAGCCTACCACCTTCGTCTCGAGTACGTTCACCGCTTTGGTCAAAGTCCCCTTCTCTTTCGCCGCCTTTGCTTCTAAGTTCTCGACTTGGATCCGTAACTCTGATTCTTGTTGTCTCTTGTCTTGCAGTTGCTCAGCTAGATGACCAACTTCCTTCTTCAGCTTCTCCTTTTCATTGGTTGTTTCCGCGACCCAGTTCTTTGTAATCTGAAGCTCATTGGATGCAGTGTTGATAGAGTTTGTGTAGTGTGTGTAGCTGTCTTCAAATTTCTGGACCACCATTTCCAGTTCAGTCATGGTGCGGTTTACTTTCCCCGAGATTTCTGTGATCATCCTCTCGTAAGCTTCCTTGTTGGCAGCCATTGCTTCGTACAGTGCAGAAATTCTCTCTTCAAGCACTCTCCGTTCCTCCAAGAACTTTTCTTCTGCCTTTCTGAAGCTCTCTTCCTTCTCACTTAGTAACTGCTCTGTGATCCGGAGCTTCTGGTTCGAGAGGCGGAGCTTGACTTCGATATTGCTGATATTATCAAGCACCGTACTAAGTTCATCTCCTTTTACTTCCAGATCTCTTTTCAGGTCTTCAACCGTCAGTTCCAAATCAGCTATTATCTGATCTTTGGACTCGATATTCCTACTGAAGTCTTCGACCTTCCTTTCTGTAACTTCAAGGTTCGATTTGTAGTCCTGAAACCAGCCTTCAACCTGTTTATGTTCCTCATTTAACCTATTATGTGAATCTTCTCGTTCTTTCAGCATTATCTGATGATTAGCGATCGAGCTCATTAATTCAATCTTGTGATTCTCCAGTTCAGCCAGGCTTTCTGAAAGTTCTTGTTTCTCTCTCTCAAACTGCAACTGCATCCCGTTTTTCTGAGTCTGCAAAGCTTCCAAATCCTGTTGCAGATTGTTAACTTGTGCTGTTAGGGCTATTATTTGAACAGAAGCTTCATTTTCCCCACTTTTAAGTGCCTCCTGGAGAGAGCATAATTCATCCTCTTTCTCTTTCAACGTTTTCTCTAACTCAGAAACTTTGTCCTTTAGCTCCACAATTTCTTCTCTGAACAGACCATTCTCTTGGATATTACTTCTTATTTGCTCTTCCAGCTCATTGTTTTGGTTCTGAATGGAATCAATCTTGAGCTCCAAATTCTTATTTTCTCCTGTCAGACTTTCTTTCTCTTCTAGAATTTTCTGTTGATCCAGGGTCTTGCTTGTTATCTCTTCTTTCAATTGTTGCACGTGTATCAAGTACTCAGAAATTTCTTGAGTTTTTCTCTCGAGTTCCACATCCAATTCAGCTTTCTGACCATGCAGGGACTCCAATTCTTGCTGAAGTGAATTCACCTGATCCACTAAGCCTTTCACCTGAATTGATGCTTTATCACCTTTACTTACCATCAATGCTTCCAACTCAACTTTTTGAGCACGCAAAGAATCCATATCCACTAGCAGGTTATTGATTTGTTCTGTCAAATCTGCTATTCTAGACGTTGACTCGTTGTTATTTTCCTCAAGTTTCTTTGTCAAGGCAGAAAGCTCGTCTTCTCTCTCTTTTGACATTGACTCGAGTTTTAAAATTTGGGCTTCCAGTCCTACATTGTCCTTTCTCAGTTGCGTAGCTTCAGCTTCTTTACTCTCAAACTTCACTTCCACGTCTCTTTTCTCACCTTTCACAGATTGCAGCTCCAGTTCCAGGCTTGTCACTTGTGCCTCTAATTCCCTTATTCGAGCCGATGTTTCAGTCCCATGTGCCTCATGCATCTCACAGAGAGTAGAGTATTCCCTTTCCTTCACACCCAATTTCTCCTTCAACTGACAAGATTCTTCCAAGTGCCCTTTTATAGTCTCCTTTGCTTGCTGGAGTTCATTTGAAAGCTGTGAGATTTGGGCTTGCAGTCCTACATTGTCCTCTTTTACTTGATTTGCTTCAGTTGCTATACTCGCAATCTGCATTTCCGCATCCCTTTTCTGACCCTGCAAAGCCTCCAGCTCCAGTTCTAGGCCTGTCACTTGTGCCTCTAATTCCTTTATTTGAGTCGATGTTTCAGTTCCCTGTGCCTCATGTGTCTCAAAGAGAGTAGAGTATTCCCTTTCCTTCACAACCAATTTCTCCTTTAACTGACTAGATTCTTCCAAGTGCCCTTTTATAGTCTCCTTTGCTTGCTGGAGTTCATTTGAAAGCTGTGAGATTTGGGCTTGCAGTCCTACATTGTCCTCTTTTACTTGATTTGCTTCAGTTGCTATACTCGCAATCTGCATTTCCGCATCCCTTTTCTGACCCTGCAAAGCCTCCAGCTCCAGTTCTAGGCCTGTCACTTGTGCCTCTAATTCCCTTATTCGAGCCGATGTTTCAGTTCCGTGTGCCTCGTGCATCTCCGAAAGAGTAGAGTATTCCCTTTCCTTTACACCCAATTTCTCCTTCAACTGACTAGAATCTTCCAAGTGCCTTTTTATGGTCTCCTTTGCTTGCTGGAGTTCATTTGAAAGCTGTGAGATTTGGGCTTGCAGTCCTACATTGTCCTCTTTTACTTGATTTGCTTCAGTTGCTATACTCGCAATCTGCATTTCCGCATCCCTTTTCTGACCCTGCAAAGCCTCCAGCTCCAGTTCTAGGCCTGTCACTTGTGCCTCTAATTCCTTTATTCGAGCCGATGTTTCAGTTCCCTGTGCCTCATGCGTCTCAAAGAGAGTAGAGTATTCCCTTTCCTTCACAACCAATTTCTCCTTTAACTGACTAGATTCTTCCAAGTGCCCTTTTATGGTTTCCTGTGCTTGCTGGAGTTCATTTGAAATCTGTGAAATTTCGGCTTGCTGTCCTACTTTGTCCTCTTTTAGTTGTCTTGCTTCAGTTTCTATACTCGCAATATGCATTTCCGCATCCCTTTTCTGACCCTGCAAAGACTCCAGCTCCAGTTCTAGGCCTATCACTCGTGCCTCTAATTCCTTTACTCGAGCCGATGTTTCAGTTCCGTGTGCCTCGTGCATCTCAGAAAGAGTAGAGTATTCCCTTTCCTTTACACCCAATTTCTCCTTCAACTGACTAGAATCTTCCAAGTGCCCTTTTATGGTCTCCTTTGCTTGCTGGAGTTCATTTGAAAGCTGTGAGATTTGGGCTTGCAGTCCTACATTGTCCTCTTTTAGTTGACTTGCTTCAGTTGCTATACTCGCAATCTGCATTTCCGCATCCCTTTTCTGGCCCTGCAAAGACTCCAGCTCCAGTTCTAGGCTTGTCACTTGTGCCTCTAATTCCTTTATTCGAGCCGATGTTTCAGTTCCCTGTGCCTCATGCGTCTGAGAGAGAGTAGAGTATTCCCTTTCCTTCACAACCAATTTCTCCTTCAACTGACTAGAATCTTCCAAGTGCCCTTTTATGGTTTCCTGTGCTTGCTGGAGATCATTTGAAATCTGTGAGATTTGGGTTTGCAATCCTACGATCTCGTCTTTTAGTTGTCTTGCTTCAGTTTCTATACTAGCAATCCGCATTTCCGCATCCCTTTTCTGACCCTGCAAAGACTCCAGGTCCAGTTCTAAGCCCATCACTTGTGCCTCTAATTCCTTTATTCGAGCTGATGTTACAGTTCCCTGTGCCTCGTGCGTCTCAGACAGAGTAGAGTATTCCCTTTCCTTCACACCCAATTTCTCCTTCAACTGACTAGATTCTTCCAAGTGCCCTTTTATGGTCTCTTGTAATTGCTGAATCTCATTTGAAAGTCCTAAAATTTGGGCTTGTAGTCCTGCGTTATCCTCTCTTAGTTGTCTTGCTTCGGTGTCTTTACTCTCAATCTGCATTTCCACATCTCTTTTTTGACCCTGCACAGACTTTAGCTCCAGTTTCAGTTCGGTCACTTGTGCCTCTAATTCCTTTATCCGAGCTGATGTTTCAGTCCCATGTGTCTCATGCATCTCAGAGAGCGTAGAATATTCCCTTTCCTTGACAACCAATATCTCCCTCAACTGATTCGATTCTGCCAAGTGCTCTTGTATTCTCTCCTGCACCTGCTGAATCTCATTTGAAAGTCCTGAAATCTGGACTTGTAGTCCTGCGCTGTCCTCTCTCAGTTGTTTTGCTTCAGTTTCTTTACTCTCAATTTGCACTTCCATATCCCTTTTCTGACCTCGCAATAACTCCAGTTCCAGTTGTAGGGCTGCCACTTGCATCTCAAATTCATTTATTCGAGATGATGTTTCACTCCCGTGTGCTGCATGTAGCTCAGAGAGCGATGAATATTCCCTTTCTCTCTCTCCCAATTTCTCCTTTAACTGACTTGATTGAGCCAAGAGCTCTTGTATTGTGTTCTGTGACTGCTGAATCTCGTTTGAAAGCTCCGAAATTTTCAAGGTTAGAGATGTGTTCTCTTCCTCTTTATCTTTCACAGAGAGGCTTGAATTAGATACTTGCTGCTCTGCAGATCGGAGCTGCTGTTTTGTATTGGAAAGTTCCTCTCTAACAGCTTCTAGCTCCTGCCCAAGTGTGGCTTTCTCATCAATTAGCCGATCAGCTTTGGTTTTCAAGTCTGCTGCAATCTTTTCTCCCTCTTCAATCCTTCTTATAGCATAGTCTTTGTCCTTGACCAGGTCATCTTTCTCTTTCTCTGTATCTTCCAATTTTTTATTCAGAGCAGCCTCTATCTTCCTGAAAGTGTCCAGTTGTTGATTCAGCTCTCTATTTTCAGTAAGAAGTTGTGTCTTTTCACCATTTAACCCTTCAGCTTGACTCTTCAAGTCTCCAGCCGTTTTCTCTGCTTCTTGCATCTTGCTCAAAGCTTTCAAGTATTCTGAATTTAAAGCTTCCTTTTCTTCAGTTGTAGCGGTCAATTTCCTATTTAAGTCAGCAACTTCGAGATGTGCTACTTCCAGTTGTTGCTTAAGCCCATCCAGTATTTTGTGAAGTTCACCTTCCAAGTTTCCGTTTTTGCTGCTTTTTTCCTTTGAAGAATCATCTGAATCTGAGTCTGAGCTAGATGAAGAGCTGTCCTTTTCTTTCTTGCCATGAATTTTTTTCCTTAGCTCTCCCGTTAGATTATCATACCGTGAATAGAGTGATTGGTATTGTTTGTGGAAATCCTGGATTAGCTCTGCAAATCGTTCTCTTTTGGAGTTTGCCACTGGAATATCATCATTTTCTTCTTGATCTTCATCTTTGATAAGCTTTAAGATTTTATTCACGTTATCATCAATTTCTGCAATGAAAAGGAATTTATTTAAGCCTCTGCTATAAAATCATTTAAGATGAGCAAAACATGTAAATTATCTATTTGAAGCACACTTAAGCAGAGTATTGGTCGTTATGTCATTCCCAAAATTTTAAGTGGAGTATTTTAAGCAGAGTATTGATCAATGTTAAGTATTACAGACTCAGAAGAGTTCAAAGGTCTGATGAAAATTTACCTATTTTAGCTCCTTCCAGCTCTTCATCCTTTTCTTCTTGAATGTGACTGCCAAATAAGGATTTGATAGAACTCCCCATGCGGTGCTTTCTCATCTCTTCAATTTTCTGACCACCCTAAAAAGTATGAACTGACAAGACAATGTCCATACCCAAAGTCTGAAACACAAAATATTTTATTCTCATTCCAAAAGCACCATGAAGCACTAATCAAATTAAAATACTAATAAACACTACTTCCCTATAGGTCGAGAGGCGTGAGCATGAAATGAAGAACGTCTTACAAGGTGAATGTGAATATATGTGAAAACATTGCTGATATTATGGTTATTATTTTAGTATATGTTACTAGAAGAAAGAAAAGCTTTCCATGGACTGTTAATGGAGGTACCTCCATAATAGCAGATGTTGCAAAGGGAAGTAAAAGAAGTGCACATTCAGAAATATACAACTCTTTTTCTTTTTATTCAAATTCCTCTGCTGAAATTTTAGATTAGCATGGACATTTTGGAGCCAAGTTGCTAGAGACTAGTGAGCTCTTTGGTCTGGAATCTATTCAGCATGGTGATGATCAATTTGGATAGGACTCAAAACTACACCTAAGAGGCTAAAGAAATACTATTGACATATGCAATAAGGGAGTTTATTCCGTAGGTGCAGAAAAATAGAATTATCAGTAGTTCATTTTTTAGTCGTTTTCAACCACAAATTTGTATAAAAGACTGTCTGTTATGCATATTTTTTCAATCTCATTTGATTTTGAGCAGATCAAATGATTTAAAAACTAGTCTGACCGGTAGGATGGCCTATCGGAGACAATCCCATATGTTTCAAACTTCAGAAATAGCATATATATATATATATATATTTAAATGGGCAGAAAAACGGCCGGCAGAATTCATTCAGTAATATATGGCGTCACCTTTAGACAGAAATTGAGGAAGAACGTTTGAAAGTAAAATTGTAGTCGATACAATTTCTACTCGAGCTCGCACTAAAAGTCCGTTTGATTTATGCGTTTAAACCAGTAATTTTTTACTCTTGACATTTGAAATTCTAAATTTTTTGTAAAAAAAAAAGCACTGTGGCGGAATCAAAACCATAAATTTAAACACATAAAATAAACGAGGTCTAAGAATTTCAACAACTTTACTTTTGGGTTTGCATACCAATATCTAGAGTTCATACTAGAACTAAATTATTACTGTTCCTGAAAAAAGTTATTAAATGTAACGTAAACGTCATGGTACTAAATTTGAAATGTTTTTTCTTTCTTTCTTTTTTTTCCTTCAAAGTAAAAGCCAGAATGTTAGAACTTAGAACTAGGAACGTACCCAGTTAATCCAAGTGTTATTTTGACACGTAGGATTAATTGAACCTAAAATTATTTTATAGGCAACTGGTGCTCACTTAAAAAATAAAATAATAATTAATAATAATAAAAAAAGTAACATTACTTGATCCATCTTTGGCTCTTTTAATGGTATGGTACATAAATCTAAACGGTTCGTGGATCTACATATGTAAAGTATAGCCGTTAAACAAGATATAATGGTCCCAACTTAATTTCTCTGTTTACTAAACTAGCCACTTGAATAGTCAAAACCCAATGTTCTTAAAACCAAAGGCACCACTAGAAACAAGATGATCACAAAATAAATATAAATAAATCCACGAACGAGCTAAATCACTCGTGGCATCAGGAACATCCAACCACTACCTATAAAGATTAATAAAAAAACAGAAACCAGTCTCAGTTACGTTAATCAGCATGAAAGAGGACATACCCATAGAATATTATTATAGTATTCCATTCCCATTCATTTATTTCATTCTTTGGGAAAACTGAGAAAAAAAAGAATTATAACGCAAGAGTCACAAATCCAAGAAAGAAAAACTGCTTAACGGCCTTGTTCTTTAACGAGCGAAATAATAAGGGTTGTGACGTTTCTAATCTGGCGCCACGTCAGCATGTCTTTTAGATTTGCAGGGGAATCATTCAGAAGGCCAATTGGGATTCAGAAAAGACAGATATCATATCAGAAGGAAATTAGCTGTTTTCTTTTTTATTCTTTTATTATTATTTTTTTCCATATGCTGGAAAGACCCGTTCTTTTTGTTGTTTAGTAGTTAGTTCACATACTACCAGATTATTATCCAGTAATTTTCCATAAAAAATTAACAAAAAGAATAACGTAATTACTGCTTAAAAAATGGAAACGTTTCTTCTTGTAAGGAAAAAAAAAAAAAAACGAACTAAATGACGGATAAGCCCTTCACAACTATCGTCTACAGAGTAGTCAAATTGAGGAAAACAGTTTTACCTCAGATTATCCTACACTTTCCCTTTACTCCGGAAACTTCCCAAGCACTGCACCTCAATTTCTGAACGAAAAAACTGCAGAGAAACAAAAATCAAAACCGAATAACTAAAAGAAAAAAAAAAGAAGCAAAATTCAGACAAACCTTACAGCTAGTAATATCCTTATTTTCATTTAATCAAGTTAGGTTCTAAATTTTTTAGAATTCCAGATTCACAAGCAGTGATCCTGTCATGTTTGAGAAAAATCAAACGCAAAAGAAATGGAAATAGAATTTTTTTTTTTAGATGTAACTAGAATTACTATTAATCAGAATCAAATTCAGAACTAGAGAAATTAATCAACTTCAGAAAATCAACGAAACCAGAAAAACGCCGATTAAGGTTTAAATTCAAGTAAACGCAAACGAACTTGATCCAACAAAAATCCAAACAATCAGAGAAGCAAAAACAAAACAAATCCAATCCAAACTAAAGCCAGAGACAAAGCCGAGAATGGATTCCTGGTTCGAGACGAAGAGTAAAATTCACCTCGGAGAAGAAAATTCTCACTACTAGCGAAGAATCCAAGAACAGAAACTTATTGATGATCGATCAAAGAGGCGAAGATTACCTGAAACTCGACGACGAACTCGCCGAAGAGGACGATCGGACGCAGAGAATAACAGAGAAAAAGAAATTGGACGTTCGAAGTTCACCAATCAGAGAGAGAAAATGGAATTTTCCGGGAAAGGAAAAGTTGTTTTGTTTGGATTGGAATGCTCAAATGAGTACTCGTCCACCATTTGTAGCTTCAAAACTTCAGAGGGTGTGGAATCTTTGGAGCTATTTTTAGTAAACTTGCCCCCCTATTTTCTTATAATTACAGGATTTGCCATTGTCAGCGCGTACATGATCTGGCATAATTTGTTTCTTCCAATTTCTCGCTGTAATCGGGTCAAAGTTTCCGGAGATATTGATGATACTGCCGAAAAAAGAAAATGCCGTGAGATTATCCTTTTTGGTAAATTCAGTAGGTGGTAGGTAGTCGTATTGTATTTTTCTTTTTTTTTTTCTTTTTTTTCGCGTCAAAACGACCATGTTCTTAGGGGGAGAAAAGAAAATTGCTCATTTGTGAAACGACGCACTAACAAATTAAGTCCTTTATTACAAAATTTGCTCGCTAATTAATGGCATAAATGAAATGACATCACATGTACCAGAATTTTATACCAAAATATTGTTAATATGATCATGTTTGAGACAATTTGGTAACGTTTTATTTATGGATTTAGAATTATAATTTATGATTTTAATTTTTAAAATTTAAATTTTTTGTGAGAGAAAAACATTATAGAGAATCATGAACCGTGATTCAAAACTAGAGACGGATACATGAAACAAATATTCCCTTAACAATTTTCAGTTGCTTAACTCGTCAGACTATTGGATAAATTAAGTGAAATGTACAAGTGATTTAGTTTAATCGTAAGTACATATCATTGACCAAATACTAAAGGGAACAATCCCATTTTAAGTTGGTCATAAAGGTAGAGCTAAAAATTCGGGCCGCCCGGCCCGGCCCTAGCCCGGCGGCCCAAAAGGGTAGTTAGGGCCGGGCCGACCTGGCCCGTAGTTTTAATCGGGCCGGCCCGGCCCGGCCCGGCCTTAAATAACTTTATATAGGCCCAGCCCGGCTCTAAGGCCCGACGGGCCTAGGGCCGGGCCGGCCCGAATCGGTTAGGCCCGGCCCGAGTATGATTTATAAAAATTTAAAAAAAGATAACGAAATTTATAATAAATAGTGAATATTGTAAAATTTTAATGAAATAAGACTTTATTTATGTAATAATAACTGCCTCATTAAAAATTTTACCAAGAAAAACCTATTAGGATAAATCTTGGTAAGGAAAAAAGAGTGCAGTATTATTTTCACAGTTACAATTTATATATACTTAATAAACAAAAATATTTAACTGCATACTACACTACTCCCGGCATCAGAAGCGTTATCGTCAATGTATAAGTTTTGAAATTGATCCATTAAATCTTTATCTTCGGCTGTGTGTTGCATTTGCAAAAAAGCATTTTCTCAATCTTTTAGACATATTAGCACCTCAACCATTTCTGAAGTCAACGAAGTCCTTCTTTCTTCAATTGTCCTCCCAGCTATGCTAAAGACACCGTTGATACTGAAATAGTCAAGATATCACGTGCTAATATTGAAAGTACATTAAATTTTACACCGTGTAGCCTCCACCATTCGGGTTGGGCCATTTCGGGTAGGACTATTCGGGCTCTCCAAGCCGGGCTCAGGCTGCATGCGGGTCTGGAATTACCGCCCAGCCCGGCCCAACACTAGGGTCGGGCTGGGCTCGGACTTGTACGGATTTGGGCCGGGCCGGTCCCTGGGCCCACAGTAACGGGCCGGCCCATATTTTCAGCACTCAACAAAGAGGATGGCTTACATAATTGATGGTGAGATAATAGCTTAATGTGCATAATTTGCAGAGTAAGCAACGCCACCAACTGTTCATGACTAAAAATGACGTAACGAAATCCACTGATCATAATTATTCACGATATCCATCACCAATTTACTAGTGTATAAGTATATCATACAGTTAAAAACTAGATGAGTTTAGTACTATTATTTAACAATATTGATACATCGTAATAGGTGGCGCGTAATGAACTCTATAGGTCTAATTAGTCCTCCCACTTCTTAGCCCCATCTTCGAGACTACTTGTTTGAGATGGTCAAACCGGCCGCGATGATAGTCAACCAACATACACAATTGCCTTATAGCCTCTCTCTTCTCATCTCCAAGACTCAATAGCCTCTCATCCTTGTCTTTGATCTGCCTCTCATATTTCCCCACTTTTTTCTCAAGTTGGGAAATTGCTTGAATCAAGTTCAACTTCTCCCCTCCTTCCTTGCTCACCTTTGCCTCCAACTTACAAACCTTGTTCCTCAACAAGAACTCTTGTTCTTCTTTATCATCCAGATGTGACACCAAGCAATCCAGATTGTGCTTAAGTCTTTTAACCTCACAAGTTGTCCCTGTCACCCACCTCTTTGCAAACTGAATCTCATTTGACATTTTGGAAATATGTGTCAAAATGTTATCATTTTCCTCCTCAAACTTGCTAACAACCAATTCCAATCCATTAAGTGCATATTCTGCTAATTCGGAGATTTCCTTCGTTTTCCTGAGCTCATCTTCATAAGATGTGATCTTCACTTCCAATTCCCTATTCTCTTTCTCGTACTTCTCCTTTGTCAACTTATAGCTTTCTTTGTTCTCAGTGTGTAACTGTTCTGTCACCAAGATTCTCTGGTGCAACAAACGAATCTTGTCTTCAAAACTAGTTTGGAACTTCTCCGCAAAATCTTCCATCTTCTTTTCCACAATTCTTCTTTCATCTTTTTGCTTACTTAGAGAGTTCAATTGCATTTGATCTTCTCCCGCCATTTTCTTCTCAACCAAGACCTTTCTTGCCAATTCGTCATTAAGAGACTCTATCCGAACCAGATTATCCGAAATCTCTGCGGTTTTTATCTCCAATTGAACTTCTAATCCTGTCTTCTGATCCATCAATTCCTTAATTTGAGACAAACTATTTTCTCTTTCACACGCCAATATCTCTTCCAGTTCACTACTTTTAGCATGTAGAGAACCAATTTCCATCTGCAAACTGCTTATCTTTCCCATCATTTCCTGAATTTTCGTTGTAAAAGTGTTCTCATTTTCATTCAGTTTTTTCATCGGAACAGAATTCTCATCTTCTTTATCCTTCAATTTCGATTCGAGTTCTAAAACACGAGAACGCCATCCTTTCCTTTTATCCCCTATCTGTCTAGCTTCAGCAGCTTTGCCTTCCCTTACCGGTTCTTGATCTCTCTTCTGGCCTCGCGAAGATTCGGTTTCGATCTTCAAACCAGCTAATTGACCCTCTAGCTCTTTTATCCGAGCCAATGACCATGTTTCATTAGCCTCACCGGCCTTAACTAGAGCGGAAATTTCTCTGTCTTTCTTATCTGCTTCAATCTTCAGTTCATTATATTCCGATTTCAAATTCTTGTTTTGTTCAATTACAGAGGCCAGTTCATGCTTCAATTCAGCAGCTTCAAAACTTGCAGCTTCACTTTCCAATTTGCCATTTTTGATGTCGGTTTCCTCCGACGAGTAATACTCGGAGTCTGAGCTGGAGTTGGAAGAACATTCCTTCTCGCTGATTGCATGATTTAGTGTTTTTCCTGACACTCCTATGAGATGATCATACAATGCACAGAGTGACTCGTATTCTCTGTGAAAGTTCTCAACCAATCCAAGTAGTTCTATCTCCTTTTCCGGGGCTTTTCGCTTTCCTTCTTTCTTTCCTTGGTCTTCATTCCTGATTAGCTTTAGGATCCTTGTCACGTTCTTTTCAACTTCTGTAGTAACATGAAACACGGTTTTTTAATTTTTTTTTTTTTTTAAAAAAACTTGGACAATATTCCATGCATATAATTTGATAAAATCAGCAAACAGTCAAAAACTTGCATTATAGTTGTATAGATATTCTTTGTATGTTTTTACTTACTAATTTGTTCCTCAATAATGAACTATAAATAACAGCTAAAAATGTCACATCATATTAGTCTCTATTACTAATAACAATATAGCTCTGGGGAAAAGGGTATCACTGGTATTACTCAATTTTCTATCTTCTTTGACAAAATGTTTTAAAAAGTGACAAGTGGTCATGTATCTGCAAGAAATAAAGGAAACTAAATCATAAGATGTTATATTTCAATAGAATTATAAATCTGGTGGGGTTTGGGTCAGACAGACAAGTTGACAAAATGCATGAGATGTTAAATAAAAATAAAAATTAAATTAAAATTAAATAAAAAAGTGCACCTGCTTTAGTCCTTTTCAGCTGTTCAGTGTTTTCAGGCTCAACATGATTCCCAAAGGACTTTGTTAACTCTTTTAACCGGGTTAGCATTTCTATTTTTTCAGCAGAGGTTTCTGATATAAAATAGTATATCAGCACAGATCAAGACAAGGATGTTGTTTCTATCTTCACAGACTGGAGATCTGATGCTAAAAATAAAAAATAAATAAATAAAGTAAGGAACACAAATAAATCTAAGATTGGAAATGGGAAATGAAAACCTTTATATAGATTTCAAAAGACAAGAAATAGTCTCCAAAGTTCCAACTGCTTCCCTAATATTTATATATAAAGCTAACAAATGAGTTAATGATGTGATCTGTTTTGAAGAATTTCAAATGTTTAGTTCTGTCATTTTCTACTAAAGAATAGAGCCACTTTTGCTATTGTTTTACAGCAAGAAAATTTCTACAAAATGTTCATGTTGCTATAAATGTCAATAATGAAGCTGTTTAGGACTTTGACAATAAATCCTATAAACTGTTGACGGTTCTCAATTATAAACTTCCAGAAAAGGAAAGATAACCTACATTTCAATTCTCAAAGGAAATTTAATAAACCCCCTTATAAATGTTCAAGACTTAAATGCCCCCTTTTTGGGACTCTAGCCAATGAAAATGAAGGAAAAATAAATAACACATAAGATAAGATAATAAAAGTGCATCAAAAGGAAATGGAAACAGGATCAAGAAAAAGTTCACTACAGTAGTAATACTTCATGTCAATTTTCATATGGGAAGCCAAATCTAAACCAACTAATTCACCTAAAATTAAACTAGACATGGAAAAGCAACCAGTGATTTGATTTCGACACTTGCAAATGCAATTGTTCATTTTTGTGTAGCAATTGAGACTTTTATATTCATTTCATCAATGTGATTTTGACAGTCTGTTTCATTAGTATATTGAAGAAGTGCATTAGGTTTGAGATGTCAACTTCTCAAGAAGAAAATGACCACTAATATTTCACTTTTCCTCAATAAACACACCGTTAGCATAATGGAACCTCTTACCTAGGTGTTGTGTGAGAAAATGTGATAGACACCTGGATCAACGACACCACGACACGTGGCCATAACTGCTCTCCGCCAAGCACGCAACCCTCGGCGTCTACGTTTTCTTCCTAATCAGCCGCAAAGCCCAAGGTTAAAGTCCGGATTAGGGCGACGACCCCTTGTGGCGCCGACGGATGGTGCCGCTTGAATTAAGGTATGGATATTCCTCGGCTGCAGAAGGGACCGCCAGAGAGGACGACTGGGGCTAAATGGCGCTGGCGACGAGGGGAACGTTCTTTTTAGACATGGCGGGTTGCGTGCAGAAGCGGAGAATGTCTGTCAGCATTAATTACAAATTCTCGAACCGCCCCACAGGGGACAGAAAAGTATTACGGAGAATCACAGAGCCGTAATAGAAGACTAATTGGCTGAGTGAACAGTGCTGATTAGTGGGCTACATCTGGGCCTACCAAGGTAGAACACTTGAGTGTTTCCACCGATTAAAGAAAACCACTAGGTGAAAGAAGCCCAGTATAAAAGGATGAAGACCCCCACCGAGAGAGGGTCAGAGAAAAAAACACAAGAGTAAAAAGGAGAGTCATAACCTGTAAATTGTTGCCCTCTCAAAAGAAATACAAAAACTTACAGTAGATGTAGCTCTAATTTTATAGAGTGAACCACTATAAAATTTCTTGTATTTGTTTACATATAGTTCATTTAACCAAACAAATACTCACATCCAACAAGTATCTACTCTTTCACTAAACACATAGGGCCCGAAGGGAAACCTCAAGGTAATCCGGCCGGTTTTTTATTGACGAAATCGAATCGTCAACACTAGGTATTGCCCACGCTTAGAATTTGCCCACGCCCCTGCCACCCCCCCCCCCTCAGTGCTTGTTACACATTTCTGATGGAATTTGTGGTAAGCAAACATCTAGAATCCAATGCCTAATGCTTTATAGGTTTTTCCTGTATGAAGCTCCAAATTTCTCTAATGGCACTATGTCGAAATGACTTCGGTTAACAATGTTGCTGCTCTGAAATTTTCAATAGCTATATACTTGTAACACGGTCATTTCAAACTGAGATAAATAAAAAAAAAAAGTGTTTTTATAAAATTGAGAATTATGCAGTAGCGACCGAAAAATACTCTATTAGTATGATACAGTTTTGAACCGATCACATCACAATTATATCGAATTAAAAAAAAATACATATGGCAACTTTGTAAAATTTGATGAAAATTTTAATGGTTCAAAACTGTACCCCATAGCACAAACCCTAGGTGCATTTATTCCACATTAAAGTTAAGCTGTAAAAAAATAAGACAAAAGGCCAAGAGTTCATGAGAATATTAACAGACACAACGTAGAAAAATGCCGTAAATGCCAATAAAGTAAAGTATTTTTAACGCTCTCTTGAATAGCCTTGGCGTTCTTCAAAAGCCTACAAAAGGACAGTTTTTTTTATTCCCCATCCTAAAATTATAAATTCCTTATCTTCCTATCATTCATTTCACTGGAACCAAAGAAAGGACAGAAATCCGTCCATGTCGAGTTTTGGGTTTCAATGTGAGTGTGACATAAAGTGAATAATGCATTAAAATTTTGAGAATTGAACACCTTATCCAGCTTTAGAACTGTGATGAAAGTCACAAGACCCATTATCTTATTACAATAATTAATAATAGAGAGATAATTGCATGCAGGAATATTAATCTCTGTTAGTAAATTCATCATATTCATAACCAACAAAAGAAATCAAAACATATGGGAAAAAAAAAAAAAAAAGATTTGGAATTCATGTAAAAGCATATATATGGAAACGAAATTCTAACACCGGAATTATTTGATGTATTTCTCATTTTTATTTTAAAAATGTTAAACTAATTAGAGCATTTGCATTGACGAATGTTCTTCTTTCTTAGATAATAAATCACAAAATATATAACAGAAATCTGGGATTCAAAATATAATTAAACTATAAACGTGTTTACCTTTTTCAATCGAATGCGATTGTCACCCACGGATAAAAAAAATAATCATGTTTGAGAATGAACAAATGAGAGAAAAATTGTACAACTATTTTTTAATTATTATTATTTTTTTGTTCCTGGTGTTGGTTTTTTGTCTTTCTTTCCCAGGCGAATCGCAATCTTGGCGCTTCTTTCGATGAAAATGCCCCTGGATTTCCACAAAATTACGTAAATGTCAATTTCTCGTTATCTTATTAAAAAAAAAAAGAAAAAAAAAAAACAGTGATGACAGAAACCAGGAAATTATTGGGCACTCATCTCTGACGCCACGTGGGCTATTCCCGCTCTTTTCTTGTCCCTTTATTGGTTCTGAGTTTCGAATACCTGCAGTAATGTCAAGATAGAATGGTTGTGGACCTTGGACGTTTTCATATTATTATGAATAGAAAATGTGAAATAAATAAATAGTTGTGGTTTAATTACTATTAAATGGTTTAACAGTTTGAAACATTTGATTGGTAGACATTCTTTATCACCGAAAGTTAAAAGAATATCAGATAATTGAACCTCAAATAAAAATGGATATTAAATAATTATTCCCACTTTTAACAATTTATTCTCTTAGGAAGGACCATATATTATATATATACATAGTACATAACATCCACTTTGTCACACATGGCAATAATTTATCACCAATGAAAAATAAATCAGTGAAACTCAAGGTAGGAGTACTTTTATGGGGGAATGAACAAAAAAGAAAGGTTAAAATGATAATTCCGTAATAAAAGCTTATAAACCGTTGAACAAGAAACAACAAATAAACATGAATATGATTACGTTTTTTTTTTTTTTTTTAAAGAAGGAATGTGATTAAGAGTAGTTCCTTAATACATTTAGAACACCAGCTCAAACCTGGAGCTAGTGTCGTAAGTTTAGGTCGAACCAAACAGACAAGTCTAGAGCCATCACTGTTCATCAAATTCTGGCTAGTTTGGCTCGAACCTCCAGGCCATCCTAAGCCAGTCCAGCCCGAAGTGCTTTTATTATTATTTTTTAAAAAAAATTATTGTAAAAGTCTTGGTCAGTTCTAGCCTTAGCTCGTCAGGTTTTAGAACCGAGCTAGACTAAACTTCCTCCTTTTAGGGTCAGGCCGAATAGCATCCCCAAGGATTAGGTCCACTTTTTACGGGTCAGTGGAATCTTTATGCTCAAAATCCTGGTTTAAGTAGTTATTTATTTGGTACCTCCCAATGAGCAGGAACTACCATTCTAACCCTTCTCGGGGGATTCCATCCACAAACACAAAATTTTATGGCTGACAGATATTGCTCATCATCATTTAGCTATTGTATTTATTTTTCTTACAGCTAATCATATGCAATAGAACTAATTTCGGGATTGGGCACAATATCAAAAATCTTTTAAAAGCACATATTCTGCTGGGGGGACAATTAGGGTGTGGACATAAAGGTCTTTACGACACAATCAATAATTCGATTAATTTTCAATTAGGTCTTGCTCTAGCCTTTTTAGAGGTTATTACTTTCTTGATCGCTCAACATATGAATTATTTACCCGTATATGCATTCATAGTACAAGACTTTACTACTCAAGCTGTTTTATATACTTATCACCAATACATTGCAGGATGCATCATGACAAGAGCTTTTGCTCACAGAGCTATATTTTTTTATTAGAGATTAGAATCCGGAACAAAATGAGGATAAAAGAATGTTAGACTATAAAGAAGCTATGGTATCCCATTTAAGTTGGGCTGATAATTCTTTTGGACCGGATGATCTAAACCTTCACCTACATTTGAAGCTTTAGCTAAACAGTCAAAGCTGCTGAGAAAATATATAGGTGATTATTATTAGTTTACCAATCCATTCCAAAAACTTAAGCTGTTAGGAGGTGAGCCAACAATAGTTTTATACTTTAACACTCCCCCTCATGTGTGGGTTAGACAATGGGCAATCGTGTGGGTAAATTAATTAGAAAGCCCAACACGTGAATATTTAAGTCCGAGATATATTAAAGACCCAACACATGATGACAATTTAATTAGAGATAAA